GTGCCCTGTGTCACCTACCTCTCCCTTCTGAAGGCAAGTTTCTAACCTGCAGTGTTTCAAACAACTCCTGAGATACTGATTGTGGTTTCTAGAGACCTGCAATCACAGAACCCCTCTGCTCTTCCACCCATTCTAGTCCTCTGCAGCAGAAGCAAGTTTGACACCACACGAGGGATCTTGTCTTTCAATGGAGGATGAAGTGAAGCAGTGCTCGAAGGGAGCATCAGCTTTCAGCCCCAAAATGCAGAAGTTTTGGAGGTTTGGAATTGTTGTGGTTTAACCCCAGCCAGCAACCAAGTACCAGGTTTTAGCTCACTACCAGAGGCAGGGGAGGAGAGGAAAGGGTGATGAAAGAGGAAGCAGTGTTCTCTGAATGAAGTTCACCTTACAGGACTGCAGCTACTGGTGCTCGCTGCTTGGCAGTCTGAGGAGACAGAGACACCCAAAGCCCACTGAGGAGCTCTGCGGTGCCCCAGAGCATCAACCTTCCACAGCAGACCCAGGAGCTCCAGCAAACCCCCTGCCACAGCCAAGCACATCGTGTAGCTGCCACCCTGAGACTCCCAGCGTGTGCTGTGGTCACAGACACAGCCCTGGACAGCCAGAAAGCACCGAGGCTGAACGGAAGGCAGACACGGGCCCTGGAAAGCAGCACCACGGCGGCAGGCAGAGGCTGACTTGTGTCCATGCCAGCAGACAGGCTCACTCTTACATCAGGCACCTTCTCCTGAGGAGTTACTCAAAAGCTGGCACGGAACCACCTCCTAGAAAACCAAGTGCTGATGCCTGAAGTCACCTCCTTGGTCTTCCACGTTCACACTCACACCATGAGAGCCCAAAAACCAGCTTTTCCTTCTCCTGGCCCTCACAGCTTCATGGAGTCCTTGGGCCCTTTGCTCTCTCCAGGGAAGGCAGCTCAGTGCCAGCCCGGAGCTGCACCGGGGATTAGCCAATGTTTATGAAGTGCTTTAAAGATTACAAGTGTCACCTATGTGCTAAATATTTCCCTGGCACTATCAGCCTGAGCAGCAGCCGGGTATCTTGTATCTGCTCCTGCTCATCTCGACCTGGCTGCTGAGGGCATCAGTCAAGCTCCTTCCAACCACTGTACTTGGCGTGGATCCGAGGGGCATCTTCAGGCATCACACAGGAGAGGACAGAACGAGGGAACTACCAGGAGCCTGACCTGTAAAGCTGCTGCAGCACCATCACCAGGAGGGGCTGAGGGCTTTATTTGCTTTTACAACATTCTCATGTGTGTGCATGAGCCTGGAATACTCTGGAATGATGCCCAAGCGTGCAAAGAGGCCCTCGCCGTCATTCCCCTGGACAGAACTGGCTTGGCAGTGCTATGAAAAGGTACTTTGTGCACAGCAGCTCAACAGGAGCTAAATGGATCCCAGAGTCCTTCATTCCCCAAGAAGCTCTTTGCAACACTCACAGCATCTGAAATCAGAGACTGAGCACACAGGGCTGCATTACACACAGCAAGGATGCACTGATTCTGGTTCCTTTCTTCCCCTTGTTCCTGCAGCAGCTCAATGGCTCATCCTTTGGGTATGACCAGGGCTGAATTCTGCTCCCAGAGCTGTACCACTCTCCATGTACCACCAAGCCCAGCGATCCCCAAGCAGCACCAGCTCCCCTATGTCCCCAGTGTGTGACCAGCCACAGGGCTGCAGCCCACCTGACCCTGAGTTACAGCAGCCCCATGCCCAGGCTGCGCTTGCCCTGTGCTGTGTCTGCCCTCCAACAGCCAGGGACAAACACAGGAAGCCCAAGGACAGAGGAGCCCATTGCAAAGGAAAACATCACCCAAAGCCAAAACAGTGGCACCACAAGAGTGGCTCCTGCTCAGCAGAGGGCTGGTGGCTGGTGACTGCCTGCTCACCACCAGCAGCAGCATGAGAAGCAACGCAGGCTGGTCCTGCAGCAGCTCTGCAGCACAGGAGGGTGCTCTGGGCAGGGATCCCTGGACAGACACCAGGGCAGAGAGGGCAGTGCAGGGCTGTGAGGGGCTCCTGCAGGCAGGAGGAGTGCTCAGACTGAGCTGTGCAGGTCCATGTGGCTGACAGTGCCGCTGCCTCAGGTGCCTCCCTCACCCACACATCAAACACCCCTTACACCAGGCGCTGGTACAGGCCAAGAGCCCCACGCTGAACACACAGCTTGGTACAAAGCAACCTCCTGACAACACACACGTCATTCGTGCAGAGCCACCTGCACCCTCTTCTGCACAAAGAGAACTGGAACCAGAGCATCACACCCTACAGAAGATGGGAACTGCTGTTTGAGATCATGCAACACATTTCACAGAAGAAAAAGCACAAGATAAGCAATCTTATCCCTCACTTTAGCTGGGAGCTGATACTCCTGTTCTAATCAACTGGAGCATCCCCAGCACTGAACTTCACCCCTGAACTCAGAGGCAGAGCTGAGGTTTCCACCTATGAGGAGGCACCAGAGGAGGCTCTGCAGAGCCTGGGTCCCAGCGAGGAAAACACAATCGCTTTTCCCTGCCATCCAGCAGGATCTGAGCTCAGAGCACAGGAAGCAAGAGACCACGCAGGAGGCTTTCAGCTTCGGAGACCTCCCAGTGGCAAAGCGAGAGGTGCTTTGCTGTTTACCTCAGGCACGTAACCTGCTCTGCAATCCCCTGCCGGGTGCTGTGCTCTGCTCCGCTCTGCTCCTGTTTGGACAAGCACGTTTGCTCGGTGACTATTTGAATGATGACTCACCCGAACAAGCCAGGGCACCCAACCACCCCGAGCCCAAACTGCTGACTACGGGCTCGGCATGCAAATCCACCAGGAAGCAGCCTTGCCCGATGAAGGGAGGGCTGGGATGGCCAGGCCTGGTCACCGCTGTGTGTTGGTTGTGCCATTACAGACAGGCTGCTCCTCACCACTGCTGACTGCAACTCCAGGCCATGTCTGGGGGAAGCCTGGTACCTACAGTGACACAGCCAAGCCAACCCTTAGACCAGACTAGAAGCACAGAGTGAAGCAGCGTGGTAAAACACGACATTATGCAGAGACAAACCCCACCTCAGCTGCCAGCTCAAGGCCAGATTCAAAGAGACGAGAGTAATAAGCAAGTTTTGGAGCATCTCCTTGCTCTCATAGTAGTTGTAAAGGGCCTGGCTGCAAGCCCGTGGCTGCCTCGCTGGTGGCACTCCTCCAGCCACTGCCACTTGTGCCTCATGAAGCATGCGAGAGCCACAACCCGTGACGAGCCCAGCAGTAATTGCTGTATCAGTTTCGATGCTCCTCTGGCCAGAGCAAGGCCTGTAACTGTAAACCAGAAACCTTTTAATATCCCTCTCAACGAGGGGAGAACAACTCCGGAGCAGCAGCAGCATGGGCTGAAACCTGCTGGGGCCTGGCTGAACCACCCACCCAGGCACGAGTGGTGCTGAGACACTGGCAGGGACACAGAAGCAGCTCTTCCATGTGTCACTGCTGCTGCTGTGCTGCTCAGCCCTCCTCATCCTGACCTCCTGAAGAGCGCGATGGGCTGGAACACAGGATGAGAAGGCAGAAGAACAAACTGAGAGTGTGCCATCAGAGCAGGATGTGGTGCTAGCGCAGCCTGAGGATGTGGACAAATGCAAGGCCAAGATTTGAGCAAGCCAACGGGGCTCTGTGGCACAGGGCAGGGTTACAACTGCTCTCTGCTGTGTCCAAGCAGTGCTCAGGGCAAGGTCAACAATCTGAATTGGTGTCTGGAGTTGATAAAACATTCCCATCCACTGCAGCCTTTGAACAGCAAGTCAGACTCCGCTGCAGCAGCACTGAGAGCAGCAGAACCCATCTCCAGTCCCTGCTGCCAAATCCCAAAGTCCATCCCCACCTTACCGGCCCTATACAGGGAAGGCAGCTGCTCCTGCCCCGCAATGAAGGGGCAGGTTTGGGAGAGCCTGGAGCAGGCCCCACCTCGCTCCATGCAGCCCTGACCTGCTTTTGTCTCCCTGTGCTGCGAGCAGGGCTGTGTTGCCATGGTGAAGGCTCTGACACATTTGGTTTTCCCACTGATTTCCTGCTGCACTACAAACCTCTGCTGCTCTGCTCATGGCTGTGGTGACAGCAGCCACACACGGGTGAAGAACAGTCAGCCACCAGCTGGTCACTGCCAACAGCATCTTCCAGAGCAGCCTTACACTTCCATCAAAGCAAATCCCTCTCCCTCATCTCCACCAGGATGACTTGGATGCTCCATTCCTGTCTTCTCAGGACACGTGAGAGTTTATCTCGCATCCTAGCCCTGCCTGCCTTTAAAGGGAGCCCAAGGCAAGTTCAAGGTATCTGATCATCCTCCAAAGATGCCTCTCTAGAAGGCAAACCCGCATGCCTGTCCCCAATAATCCCAGCCTCAGGACAACTTGGGAGCCAAGCCTGGGGTCCTGCTGCCACACACTCCCATCAGCTTCCAAGGCTGCAAACCTTGACCTGCAGCACAGAGCAACGCTGCTCACAGCAATGCACTGACATGCTCAAACCCAATGTGACCTTCAGGCCTGCTGCTGTTTTAGCAGCAGGTTTGCCATGTCTTACCAAGAGGAACTGGACCATTTGCTGACCCTCACGATGAGAGGCTGCAGCCTACCCTCGTCCTGAAAGCAGCAGTGCAAGCCTCAAATCCCACACTGCAGTTCCTGAACCATCACCATTTCCTTTAGGCTCACACAAAGGAGCAGCCAACTTCACTTCCAACTGTCTCAGTGGTGACAGCACCAACCCAGCCTTGTCTGTGGTACCAAACTGGGACCAACACACACCCCCATACAATGGGAAGTGGAGCTCAAGGCCACGCTGCCCAGCAAATGACTCAAACTGCAGAAGTGCCTGAGTGGGAAACCACCCATAGTCAGTCTTTGCTTGTCTTTTTACTGTGTGCTGGGATGAGAAGCTCTTCACATCTTGTTCTGACTAAGCACAGGCTTCCCCATGAACCCCAGCATCAAGCCAGGGCACCCAACACACCCCCCCCCCCCCCGCCACCAGCTCCGTGTTTGGGTTCTAACAGAGCTCAGCAGCAGAAAGGAAAAGTCTTTGGTGTTTGCATCAGACAGTTCCCAAAGCAGCTCAGGTGAAAAGCCAGCTGTTCAGATCCTTGCAGAGAGGGAAGCAGAATGAATTCTACTGGTTTCCAATGAGCAGGAGCTTGGAACCCAACAGTTGCTGCATCACTGACAACCATCTCACTGTGTCAGACGCTGGAGATGCACGAGCACAGACTGGCTTTGTGCAGCCAGGAACATGCTCCTTAATGGTTACTGGTAACAGCTCTATTTGCTTCATGACAGTTGAGGTGTGCAAAGGACCAGTTGTGCCAGCTCAGCTGTACAATAACCACAACAACAAGTGCTGTCAGGAGCCCATCAGTGGCACTAGTGCTGGCTGATAACCCTGACAGAGCCACTTGTGAGATGACAGCCAAGGGTTTCCCACCAGCACACCTGGAGAGCAAAGACTAAGCAGGAAGAGTGATGCTGTTCACCTTCAGCTGCTCCTCGGCCACTGATGCACGTTCACACCAGCACAGGGATCAGCAACAGAAACCCTAACTCCTCCAGTGCAAAGGTAACCGGACAGGTCAGAGATCAGTGCCTCTTTCTGCACGGTACCATCTGTACATGGTGTGTACAGACCTGTGCACAGCCCTCACAGAGGGAACCTGCACACCAGCTCCAGACCTGTGAGAGCGCAGCACAAGAGCGGAGCAGGCTGCATCCTCCCATCCCAGGGCTGGGAACCAGCTTCCCATTAGGATGAGGGCTGCAGTTCAGCCTGTTATCTGATCAGACTTCACACACAATTACATACAACTTGTCAACTTACTCCTTCCATTTAAAAGCCTCAGATGTTGTGAAACGCTCCAATTAGTTTTTAGGTGAAGCCTCATCAGCTTCATTCAGCTGCTTTCACCCAGCAGCAAGAAGCCTCAGGGCTTGAAAGCCAGGGTGCCCTGAGAGTGGCCAGAAACATAGGGCTGGAACTAACCCATGAGCCCAATGCACGCAGAAAACCTCTGACATTCACTTGAGGCTGAATGAGAGCATACCCCTGAGCATCACAGCGCAACCCAGGGCCATGGCTTTCGCAGCCCCATCACTGTTATCCCTCTGTCCACATTACACAGGTATCCCTGCACTCATTCCCTGCAGGGGGAGAGCCTCGCCAGGAAGAGACAGAGCAGAAGGAGCACAGGCTCTGGGTAAGGAAAACCCTGCCCAAAACCCGTCCTCCCTCCTGCTGCACAAATCCACGGGTGCTTTCACAGCCCTGAAGCCCTTCACAGTGCCATTCAGACCCCTTCAATGGGTCCCTGAGCAGCCACCCCCTGCATGACACAACACCAACCCCTGCACCATCCCTCCATCCATCCATCCCCAAGCAGAGGGTCCATGCAGCAAGCACTGGTGCTGATGGGCCCGCAGCAGGATGGGATCCAGCCTGCAGGCAGACACTGGGGCTGCCCCAGGTCTGTGCCCAGTGCCCCTCGTGCCCCACATGCAGCAGACACTGCGCTATTCCCAGCTCCACGGTCCGTGGGAGTTTGTTTGTGTGGGTTCGGATGATTCGGCTACTTTGAAACTTGGCTGAAGCCACATAATTCCCTTTTTATGGAGCCCCTTTGATGGCCATTTAGCAGAGAGGGCGAGGTTTAGCCTCAACTAGAGACACTCGGGTCAGAGTTACTCGAAAAAGACACATAATGACCAGTAATGAATCACCCGCCAGCGGTTTCTTCATTTAAGTGTTAATGCAGCACATTAAACCCCTGGACCGGGATCAGCAGAAAGGCCCCATCTGTAATAAACACTGCAATGGCTTAACTAGAGAAGTTCCAAATTGCTCTGCTTAAGCTCCAAAGGGAGACACTTGAGCCGGTTTAACTCTTCCTTGTGCAGCATCTTGCCTGTGCCGCACAGGCGATGGGACTGACACAACAGCACTCAACACGCTACAAGGGGAAGTGACAACTCCCAGAGGATCCCTTCAGCTGGGGAGCACTTCCACCACAAACTGCACCTCCTGCTCTGCTGGCAGCTTCCTAAAGCCTTGCCTTTGGTGTCACACAGTGGTCCTGAGGGAGTGCGAAGGGGCAAGCTGCTGGCAGCACATTGCCATAGCAATGGCACAAGTGATACATGACCCAGGCAGAGGACACGGGGACAAAGGAGTTCAGCTGCTGCTGCTGCTCCCAGAGCCTCCAATGCGCGAGGAGCCCAGTCTCCCAGCAACATACTGCTATTTCCTGACTGCCTTCTAGGGAGAGCCCTCCTCCTCCAAAGGCAAAGGAGAACACAGGCTCTGGAAGCCCTCATAGGCCTCCACAGCACCCCCGAACCCTTGCAGACACCTGCCAAGAGACACCAGCCTTTTGTACAGCCAAGGGAAAGAGAAGCAGGACAGGTGAGGCACCAGCACACACTGGAGAACAGGAGAAGGATTCAGACAGGGGCCATGTGGCCTTCCTGTGGCTCCCTATGAGCCCAGCACTGACCAAGTCCTCACGGTGAGGGCCAACCTGTGGGAGCAGCACACAGGGACCTGGGGTGTTTGCTGTGCTCACCCCGGAGCCGTGCTGCTGCCTGGCAGAGATGGGCAGAGCAGAGCAGGGCAGGGCTGGGCAGCCAGCACCATGTGCCAAACTGAGCCCCGTTCCTCCCGGAGCAGCAGAGCCCGACTATCCATGAGGCCACCAGGAGGATCCGTACCTGGTTTTAGTGCCACAGAGCCCACCTCCAACAATGCCAGTGCAGATTGTTCTGACGGACGCCAGCTCACCCGAAGAGAAGCCACAGAACCATGGAAGGGAACAGCTTCTCACAGCAACAGCAGAGATTTCTCCTGTTCTCCAGGAAAGGCTTCAGCTCCTTAAAACCTAGAAACAATCAGCTTCATCCTCACCTTCCTCTGGTGGCTGTGATGGTGCAAGAGAGGCTGTGTGCTGCCAAGGACTACAGCATCACAGGTTTGGGTTCCAACCCAGTAAGACAACTCCAGCTAGCCCCTTTCACAGATGCTGTTACATACAAGTGGTCAAACCCGCTCCTTGCTTCACCCCTCTCCTCCCTCCTCATCCCCAGCAGTTCCTCGAGTCAGACACATCATCCAAGAACACAAGGACCGCAGTCAGTCCTCTCCATCAACATCCACCAACCAGCCCTTATGACAAATGTGGCATTAAACCCAGCTCCAGCACCTGAACAGCTGCTTGGGTGATTGACACATGGAATTCACGTGGAAAACAGCCCACTGGGGTCGCTCAGAATGTTTTCCAAACAGCCACAAGGAAGGGTTTCTTGTGGAAGCTGCAGAGGCAGGGACAGACAGGAGGTGTCCTGCAGGTGCCCAATCGTTCATCACCCCCAGCTGGAGAAGCAGCTCCAGTTCCTGCCTCGCACCAGAGCAGCTCTCAGAGCACAAGGCTCCAGCTCTGCATTGCCAGGCACTGAATGTAAATTGCCACCTCGGTTAATACGTAAATTGTTGACTGCTCCCTCCCCTGTTCCAGCAGTTCCAGCACAGACAATGATGAATACAGGCCTCCTGCCCTTTAGGATCATTAACATTCCCTTTCCTTAGCATCCCAACACTGCTGACCCACATCCAGTTACATGTAAAGTGCAACGTCCCGTGTCAGCACGATGTGCCAGGCACACACAGTCCTCCTCTATGGGAGGAGGACACCTGGAAACCCCAGGCCTTCCATAAGGAAACAGCCACCAAACCAGTCCCTGCTTCACTTTTCTAAGGCAAAGGGAATACAAACCAGCTTCCCCCTAAGAGCTGTGACCTGGGGTCAGGGCTGTGCAGGGATTTGTGGCTATATCCGAGTGCTGCCTGCGCAGATCCGAGCAGGAGAGCTCACCTCTGGCGGGGGATGCCAGCAGGCTCAGCACTGGGTCACGCTCCCCTTCAGTGACCAGAGAACTCTTCCACATCACTGAACGGGACGTTCTGCCGAGGCTTTACTGCCTTCTCAGTCGTTTCCATCAGGTCAAACCCTTACGGGTGTCACCGTGATGCTCGTGGCAGCATTACTGGGTACTCCTGCAGCCATTCCAAAGAGCCTTGCACCGATACCCATCTCGAACCTCACCAGCACCAACACCAGCACCAGAGCACGCAGCACCTCTCCCCTTCCCCACTCCTCCCGCAGAGCTCACAGCGACAGCCGCAGCAGAAGGAAAAGCACCGCAAGACCCACACTCAGGGCTGCCAGGCGAACCCAATCCCTGCGCTCCCGCTCCTCCTCACGGGCTGGGATTTGAGAGGAAACCCGACCTCGGAGCTCCGAACGCTTCCAGGTCAAGTTTCAGCGGCAGCGGAGGCTCCGGGGCCGCACGGAGCAGGGGCAGTGGCTCCCGCACAGGTATTCCCGGGGCCCTCCTCCCGCAGCAGCGCAGGGGAACGTGCGCGCACGCAGCCCCCCCGCTGCAGTAACGCAAGAGCTCCGCCAGGCTCAGGGGCAGGGGCGCCGGAGGCTCCACCGCCCCTCCGGACCGGAGCGCAGCCGCTGCCCAGCGCCCAGCACAGGCTCGCCAAGCTCGGGCTCCTCTCCCGGCATCCCCGAGCAAGGCACGAAGCCCCAGACCACGCTTCCCAGACAAGGGGTGGGTGCGTTTTGCCATTGACAGAGAGCCCAACTGTTCCCATGCATAAACCAGCCCCTGCTCTGGTGTTCTGCAAAGCACCGCTCAAAGGCAACCTTGGCTCTGCGAAGGTGGAGGGGAACAGGATCACAGCCCGCAGGCACCCGAGCAATCCCGGCCCAAGGGGATCAGTCTCCCTGACCTCATCACCTTCGTCTCCATCAGTCAAGCTCAGCGTTACCATGGGGGAAGCAGTGGCCACTTGAAGGCACAGAACCAAGGGTCAGGCAGGCAAATACAACCCAGCTGTGGCCAGAGCTGCCCAGCCTAACTGATTCGCGAACAGCCCCTCGAGCCACTGCACCGGGTACCCGGGCACAGCCACAGCTCCAACGTGCCCGTGCCGCACAGCAATAGGGCTCCCCGGGTGCTGCCCGCTCCCAGCCCCATTCCCACCTCCACCACTGCCGGAGGAGCCCGCACCCGCAGCCGAGCAAACCCCCTCGGCGGGAGGAACAACCGAACCACGGCGCGGGTCCCACCGCCCCTACCGGCACCCGGCGCAGGCCGCGCTCCCTCCGCCAGCAGCGGGACCGCGGCCGGCGCAGGCCGCAGCGGCGGCGGGGCCCGCTGTCAGCGCTGCCCGCGGCCCGGCGGCCCGGCCCCGAGCGGGCCGGTGCGGTGCGGGTAGCGCGGCGGGGCCCGGCCCGCAGGCCGCTCACCTTGGCGCGGGTCACCAGGTGCGTGGCCAGCTTCACCACGGCGAAGTTGCCCTTGCCGATGGTGCGCTCCACCTCGTAGTAGCCGATGCGGGCGGGCCCGGGGGGCCGCGGGGGCGGCGGGGCCGGGGACAGCCGCGGGGCCGGAGGGGGCCCCCCCGCGCCGCTCGCCGCCGCCGCTGCAGCCGCCGCCGCCATCTTGTCGCGAGGAGCAAACCCCCCCCCGCGGGGCTGCGGCACCGCGTGAGCTCATCCGCGGGGGGGGTGTTGCCATGGCAACCGCGGGGGAGAGGCGGGGCTAGTGACGCCAGCACTGCCGTAACGGGCCCTGATTGGCGGATGTCGGCAGCGCATGGCGCCGCCTTGTGGAGCAGGGGAGCCGTGCCAAGATTTTGGGGCTAAAACGCCGGGAAAAGGGGAACGGACAACGGACACACACACCCCCCCTCAGGTGACGTCACCTCACCGGCGGAAGCTTGACGTCGTGTCCCGGGCAATGACGTCATCGCGGGCCCGCCGCATCCCGGGCGCCACCTAAAGGCTACCCCGCACCTGAGCTCCGGGCAGGACTTCCGGCAGCGCGGAGCGGCGATTGGCCTGCGAGCAGCGGCGGAAGCAGAAGCGGTGGGTGCGCAGGCGCGGTGCAGCCCGGGCCGAGGGCAGGGAGGTGCCATGGAGTGGCGGGGCGAGCCGCAGCGGCCGTGAGTGGCGGGGCCGCGCCGGGGCCGCGCGGGGCCGCGGGGGGCGGAGGAGCGGGAGGAAGGCGCTGCCGCGCCCATGGGCCCGTCCCCGCCGTGATCGCGGCCCGCTGGGAGCTGTCAGCGCCGGTGGGGCCGCGGGGAGCTCCGCTCGCCCTGTGCCGGCCGCGCTGAGGCAGCAGCCCGCTGAGGGATGCGCTCCTCAGTGGTGATCCCTCGGGATCAGCGCCGCTGCGGCGCTCTGTGCGCTGGAGGCGGATGATCCGGCCGCACCGCGGGGCTCAGCGGCTCTAAGCTGGGTCTGAGCGCCTTAATCGGCCGCTGAGCACTCACGTTCCCGAGCTGTGCTCTGCAGAGCGGGTTCCGGATCAGCCGCTCTTTGTCCTTCATTGCGGGAGGTGGCCTCAGCAGCAAGGGCTGCGCGGTTGGGGGCAGAATAAACGTGCTTTGTGCAGGGGTAGGTGCGGAATGGCCACAGTGAGGGTGAGGAGCCCACCCGCCCGGCCAGGCCTCCCCGTGGTGCTGGGAGCAGCTGGGCTGACCCGTTCTTCCCACAGGAACAGCATGAACCAGGGGGACTCAAACCCGGCAGCGGTGCCGCACGCCGCGGAGGACGTTCAGGGGGATGACCGGTGGATGTCACAGGTAAGGCCGGGACGGGGAGGCCACCGGAGGGGCAGAAGCCTCTGTCCTCAATCCAAAGTGCAGAGCAGCACTTCCCAGTGGGCATCTGTGTGAGGGACTGACGGGAAATAGCCAAGGCAGGGGGCTGGACCACCCACCCATCGTGCAGCAGGGACAAGCAGCCAGAGGATGCTCACAGCACTGCCTCACTGTTAACTTCTCTGATCTGCAGTTATGGGGTCTGACGGGCTGCCTGGCAAGCTCACAGCTCATGTATGGGTAGCACACAGAGATGCTGCTCTTCTCACACGTGAGGTTGCTGTGCGGGTTTGGGGAGCACCCCTCTGCCCCGCAGCAGGGAATCCCATGAGGACTGTCAGCCCGCTGAGCTAACCTTGTTGCCCTCTTTCACCAGCACAACAGGTTTGTCTCGGACTGCAAAGACAAGGAGCCCGATGTGCTCTTCGTGGGGGACTCCATGGTGCAGCTGCTGCAGCAGTATGAGGTATTGCTAAAGAAAGGGGGATGTGGGGGCACAGATCCCAGTGTTTCTCTCTCTAAGCCGGTCACTGATGATCCTGTGTGATGCAGATGGGTCCTTTGTTGTGAACTGAGTGCCCTCTCCCATTCATCCTGCCCAGCTCCCTGCCCTTCCCACTGCTGGTACAAAGCCTCTGTAGGCTGTTTGCAGTCATGCTCTGAAGCTGGTAATGACTGATTCCACTTGGACACACAGCCCCTTCCTAGTTCCTTGAGTCTCAAATCCAAACTCCCAGGGGCACCATTGGATCTCTGTAGTTGTACCTTGCATGGCCAGAACACATTTAACCCTCAAGCCCTTGCCGTGCTGCTGGCACACTGGCTTTCTTCTGAAGCTCCACGACAGACCCAGCACTCTCTGAGGAGCTGCTCAAGAGAGCTTCCCCTTCCTCTGTGCCAGGTCTGGGTGCTCAACAGCAGCACCTCCATCCCCTGCAGACCCCAAGTAAGCCCTTTGTGGAAGCGAGTGTCCGGAGGAAGGCTCATGGCTCCTCAGAGCCATCCCTGGCCAGTGCAGTGCGTTCCTTTCACAAAGAGGACAGTGCAAACACCAACTGGTTTCTGCTTGCAGATCTGGCGGGAGCTCTTCTCACCCCTTCATGCACTGAACTTTGGAATCGGTGGAGACACCACAGGCCATGTCCTATGGAGACTGAAGAACGGTGAACTGGAGAACATTAAACCCAAGGTACACACACACGCTTAGACAAGACTTCAGGGCTTGAAGGGTGTAGAACAGAGTGAGTTGTTAGCAGAGCTTTCTGTTTGCACAGCCATTGGCACTGAGCACATCTCAGGTGTTGCAGTGTGCTGGGCTAAACCAGAATTGTTTGGGAGCATGGCTGTACATGAGGTGCACGCTCCTGAATGGCATCAGTAAATGGAGGCGACCTCCTAGCACTGGTGAACATGATTTACCACAGCTGGGTGTTGGTTGGCATTGCACTGTGCCTCCCAGCTCTGAGACATGTTCTTAGCCTCTAGAAGGGGATGGGGCGGATTTGATGAGGAGGTAGTGGAGATGGCCAGGATGTGTGGTGAGGATCAGCTGCAGGCTCCTTAGAAACGAGCATACCCAAGGGGTGAAGGCCTCTTGCAGCGTGGGTGCAGGCTCCAGCCCGACTCTCCATGTCACTCGCTGTCACAGATGGTGTTTGTTCAGGCTTTCAGGGTCACAAGCCCAAGAGAGGTGGCTGTGGACAGGCTGCAAACTCTTTTCCTCCTCACAGGTCATTGTTGTTTGGGTTGGAACAAATAACCATGAAAACACAGCCGAGGAAGTAGCAGGAGGGATCGAGGCCATCGTGCGCCTGATCAACACCCAGCAGCCACAGGCCAAAGTCATTGTGCTGGTATGTCTCTGGGCCAGGATGGCTCCTGGAGCAGGAAAACAAACTGCCCAGGGGAGCCACGTGTCCTCTGTGCTCTCCCTCTGTGGTACTCAGAGGGATGTGATGGGGGATTGGTGCTGGGACGAGGGGGTGTTTACCTGCCCCTGCTCCGTGCTCCCTTTGCTCCCTTGGCTGTGCAGCACTCCTCCTTTTGGGATGGGTGGAATCCTCCCCATTAGTGGCACTCCTGCCCTGCTTAGAAGCATTGTTGAAGAAGTCCTGTGAGGGAAGAGGGGTGCCCACAGCAAACCTGGCTCCCTCAGCGGTGTTTCTTACTGGGTCTGGATGGACTGAGTCCGACTGAAGGGAGGGATCCCTCTTGTCACAGCCTGGATCAGAAGGGGAAGCAGGCTCTGTTACACCAGCAGGGTTGTACGAAGCTCTTTTTTGCCTCCTCCCTGTGCCAGGGCCTGCTACCTCGTGGAGAGAAGCCAAACCCGCTGCGGCAGAAGAACGCCAAGGTGAACCACCTGCTGAAAGCCTCGCTCCCCAAACTGTGCAACGTGCAGCTCCTGGATGTGGACGCCGGCTTCGTGCACTCGGATGGCACCATCTCCTACCACGACATGTTTGATTTCCTGCACCTCACGGGAGGGGGCTACGCAAAGATCTGCAAACCCCTCCACGAACTGATCATGCAGCTGCTGGAGGAGACCCCCGAGGAGAAACGAGCTGCCCTGGCCTGAGCTCCCCCCATCGACAGCATCACCCAGCCCATCAGATCAGTTCTGTCACTGGCACTACAGAATCCTTCTTTCTTAAAGCACTTTCCATTGTAGAATGTTACCGGATGTCCGTACCTAGTGTTTTGAGGGGGAAGGCTGATGTTTAACTGGTCTTGTACAGATGAGGGCCGGCTGGGTTGCTTTTATTGCAGGAGGAAAGTAGCTGATGAAGAGTTTTACTTTTAAACCATTCCTCATTCACAAGGAGAACAGGACTGTCACTCTGTGCCCCTCTCATGTCTTGTTGCTCTGTGGTTGTCCTAGAACCCCCGTGGCCACGCTCGGCTCCCGGCTGTAGGCGTTGTGCTCTGTGTTAGCGCTGACCAAGAATCACATTCCACTTGCAAAGCCACAACAGATGCATTTTCCCAAACTCGGTCCCACCTTTGGAAGCTTTTTTTGGTTGGGGGTTAATGACACGTGCTGCTTTCTCACTCCTTCTCCCTGAAGCAGCATGAAGCTGGAACTGGGAAGTGCACAGGAGCAAGCGGCTCGCTCCAGCGCTTGCCCTTGTGCTGTTTCCACCAGGGCACTTTTCCTTCCCTCCCTGTGCCATGTGGCTGCGGTGCTGCTGCTGCCGCCCTGTGCTCTGCCCCGTGTTGTTGCTGGCTTTTCACAGTAGCTCAGTTTAGGATTCTGATCCCCCAGTGACACTGCGCTGGGCAGTTGCTTCCTCGCTGCTCTAGAGCTGCTGTTCCGTTCATCCCGAGCTGCCTGTGCCACGGGGCTCTCACAGTGCTGTGCGTTGCTCCTTTCTGTTCTTTTTTAAGGTATGACTGTTACATCCTTTATTCCTAAAGGAAACCCGTTGCCCTGCCGCTGTCCCAAGGCCTGCAGCACTCTGAAGCTTTACAGATTCCAAGGTGTACATTTCTTTGTTGCTTCTGGTTTACTTGTACAAACATTTTGTTGGAGCAACTACAGCCTCTTGCAGTAACAAGTGCAGCAGAGGTGCAGGTTCTCCTGCCCTGGCCACTGCTCCTTGCTCCTGGCTGAGGCAGCCACAGGGGCAGGGGTCCAGGCCAGGCAGGATTTGGGTTTAGTTTCTGTTAGGAGGGCTGCAGTAGTCACTAACGGTTGTATGCAAACAGCTTTTACTTACAAGAGAAAGGTTCTCTTTTTCAGAAGGAAGCTGGTTTGGACCCATACAGCAGAGCCCTCAGTGAACAGATAACTCCACTTGCCAGGAAACTTGTTTTCAGCCCAGTCAGTTCCTCCTTGGCTTTACCTGCCGGAGCTGGTGCCATGCACCTTGCCATGGCTCACACTGCAGTATCCGGCCATGAGCCACCCCCGTGGGTCCTGGCAGGTAAATCCAAGAGGAACGACTGGCTTTGTATCAGGCACTCCACAGCGTGTCGGGCACGAGGGGTGTTGAGGTGTCCGGGATGCTTGCTGCGCTCTGCTGCAGCGAAGCACGTTGGTGCTGTACATAGTTTGTCTGCCCTTCTTCATAGCAGAGGGTGCTGGTGTTTGCTGCGTCTATAACCTCGCATTAAGGAATACATGACTGTCCCCGCTACCTTCCCCTCTTCCTGTAGATTTGATCATAGCAGGATTCCTGCCTGGATTGCATGCATAGTGTGTTTTGTTTCCAGTATATGTGATCTACACACAGATGAAGGAAAGATGTTCCGCTTGCCAGGATCGGAAGTAGGGAGCTCGGCAGTGGAGCAGGGATTCCGGTCCTGCCCCACGAGCCAGGCTGGGGCTGTGCTGCTCCCGAGGCTCGCTCCACAGCTCTGCTTGTCGCTGCCCACTCCCAACCTGTCCCACTCCACCTGCAGGCTTCTATGTGAGGGCAGCGAGGGGTTCTGGAGCTAAAACCCAGCACCTCCTCCTGAGCCGGGTAGAGGAGGCTCCTCCTTAGGGGCTGAGCATCGTCTGTTTCATGTTCATTGCAGCAGGGACATAAAACAAAGGAAGTGAAATGACAGAAAGAGCCTCTTGTAACTTACCAGGGGACGGGAGGATGATCGCAGGATGGGACCTACGAGGAGGAAAGCCCATGCCCGGAGGTGCTGCCCTCTCCGCTCGCCGCCCTGAGCCTTCCCCGGGACAAAACAGTTGTGATTCTGCTTTGGCAAAATGCATCGGCTGGTAGAGCTCACTGTTAGTGCATATCGCGATATAAATGTCAGTGTTTCACCCCACCGTGTCGCAGTGTGTGTGTGTGTGTGTGTGTGTGTGTGCCCGGGCGCCCGCCTCTCCCCTCTCCCTCCCTCCCTATGTCGGTGCCTCCTTGTGTTTCGTTTCTGAGGGCTGGGAAGGTGCTGCCCTGCACTGAGCAGCCAAACCTGCCCCCAGGGGCCTGCGGGGTCCCACCCGCCCCGGTCCTCCCTCCTTGTTTCACATCTGTCCTTCCCCTGCTCCACTGGGGCCTCTGTTGGTTTTCCCTCTCCGTTCCCCTGCTTCCAGAGCTGTGAGCAGGGCTCTGCAGGTGAAGGCACCCCGCGCTTGGAGGGCGCAGCCTGTGTTTGGTTCCACGGTGGTTGCATAGGGAGCACCCATCACCACACACCAACTCACAGCCAGCCCTGCAGAGCTGATCCTCCGCTTCAAGCAGCCGGGGCGAGCTCTGCTCCCCGCTCCCACACGGGTGTCCATGTGTCCCTGCGCAGGTCCTTCCATCTGCTGTCACCACCTGGAGCACGGAGACAACGTGCAGACGGTCTGAAAAACGCTTTGGCATCCTCGGTGAGAGGAGAACCTGTAGAAATAAAGTGCACAATAGCAGCAGTGCTCGTGTCTCCTTCTGTTTGTCCTGCACAGGAGAGGGCAACCAGCAGTGGAGCTCTTGGATGTCACCTGAAGCCTGGAAAACAGTGGTTGGGGAGGGGGGGGATTAAACCAGAAAGCCCAGACACAGAGAACACATGAGCACCCCAAAACCGAGGCTGCAGCACAGCAGGGACGGGCTGGAGCTGCCTGGGGCGGGGGGGGGGGGGGGTGGGGGGTGTTCCCTGCGGCCCCATCCCCGGCTGGGGGCTCGGTGAGCAGGATGTGGCCTCGGCCCGTTTTGGGGAGGGCCGGGGGTGTCCGTGCCCTTCGGGTGCTCGCTGCAGCGGAGCCAGGGCTCCCCTATGGGTCCTGCATGGGGCAGGGGCTCCCCTGAGACAGGGATGCCCGCGGTGGGGCCCTGCACAGGACACGGGCTCCCGGCGGGCGGGCGCTGCCGTCCTTGCCGCTCCCCCGGTGGGAGCCGCCGCCGCGTCACTTCCCTGACCGGGCCCTTTATAACCGGTGACGACGCGTTACATCACCGCCGGCCCGTGTTTACAGCCGCCTGCGGAACGGGGACAGCGAAAGCACCGGCAGCGAGCACCGGCACCGGGCACCGCGCACCGGGACGGGCACCGGGACCGGGACCGGCAGCGGCACCCCCGGGCTCTGCCCGCGGCGCCGCTCGGATCCGCACCGGGCTCAGCGCGGGCCCGGGGACGCTGACACCGACACCGACACCGGCACCGGCAGCGGCGGCACCGGCAGCGCAGCGGCAGCGGCGGGGCTCGCTATGGGGCAGCGCTTCCCTCTGCGCCCCGGCTGACCCCCCCCGCCCGGCCCGGCTGACCCGGCCCGGCCCGCCCCGGCGGACCTTGGCCGGTGCGGGCGCGGCCGGGGATGCTGTCGGGATGGCGGGCACCGGGGCGGCCGCGCTGGCCCGGGCGCTGCTGGCCTGGGCGCTGCTGGCCCTGCCGCCCGCCATGCCCCAGCCCTGCGGCCGCCCCGAGGTGAGGGAGAAGGAAGCTCGCTTCAACACCACCTACAGCGACTGGGTGAACGCAGACCTGCTCAACATCTACGCCTTCAACCACAGCGTCCGGAGGAACAGGGTGAGCCGGCGGGGCGGCCCCTGCCCCTCTGCATCCCTCTCGGGGAGCTCCGGGGCGCCACGGCGGGGCCCCCGCACGGGATGCGGGACACGGGACGCGGTCTCTGCCACGAGGGCCGAGCAAAGTCCAGGCCAGCGCCTGTGTTCCTGCCCGCAGACGGAGGGCGTGCGGGTGTCGGTGAACGTCCTCTCCGACCACAAGGACCTGCCCGTCCTCTTCGTGGTGAGGCAGAAGGAGGCGGTGGTGTCCTTCCAGGTGCCGCTCATCCTCCGAGGGATGTGAGTAGGACCGGGCCGGGCCGGGCGGGGGGGACCCGGGCTGCAGGCAGGGATCCCGCAGGCACAGCAGGGCTCTGCCCGCGCAGGTACCAGCGCAAGTACGCGTACCAGGAGGTGAGCCGCACGCTGTGCCAGCCGCAGACCAAGGCCGAGGTGGAGACCCAGCACTTCTACGTGGATGTGTCCACGCTGTCCCTCAACGCCTCCTACCAGCTGCGGGTCACCCACGTGGAGAACTTCGTGCTGAGGTGAGGGCAGCTCTGGTCCCCAGCCCCGCTCCTTGCCAGGGCCACTGGCCACAGGCTCACCACCCATCAGCCCCGCCGTGCTCTCTGCAGGACTAACGAGAGGTTCAGCTTCAACGCCACGGCTGCGCAGCCGCAGGTGAGGAGGAGCTGCTGGGGGGGTGTGGGGAGGAGAGTGCAGGCACCGTGGCACTGATGGGCTCTTCCCCCCCCCCCCCAGTATTTCAAGTACGAGTTCCCCGAGGGAGTGGACTCGGTGATCGTGAAGGTGACCTCGGCCATGGCCTTCCCCTGCTCCGTCATCTCCATCCAGGACGTCGTGGTGGGTTTGGGTGCTGCGGCCTCTCTCTGGGTGACCCGGGATGCCCGATAGGGCTGACGATCCCTGTGTCCCCTCAGTGCCCCGTCTACGACCTGGACAACAACGTGGCCTTCATCGGCATGTACCAGACCATGACCAAGAAGGCGGCCATCACGGTGCAGGTGAGTGTGGGGCTGTGCTGGGGGTACCAGCCCCGAGCCCCCCCAAGGGCAGGCTCTGCTCACCCCCGTGTGGGACGGCTGTTGCAGAAGAAGGATTTCCCCAGCAACAGCTTCTACGTGGTGGTGGTGGTGAAGACGGAGGACGAGGCGTGCGGGGGGGCTCTGCCCTTCTACCCCCTCTCCAGAGATGCCTTACCGGGTATGCTGGGGGAGGCACCCACTGCAGCGCATCCCTGCTGCCACCAGTTGGGTGCTGAGCCCCCAGCCCGTGCCTTCTTCCAGATGAGCCCGTGGACCAGCACAACCGGCAGAAGACGCTGGAGGTGATGGTGTCGCCTGCCATAACCTGTAAGCATGGAGGGGCCATTCAGGGCTGGGGGTGCTGGGGTCCATGGGGTCCCTGCTGAGGGCTTGTCCTGGCTCTGCGCAGCGGAAGCCTACGTGAGGAGCATGCTCTTCTGCCTGGGCATCTTCCTGTCCTTCTACGTGCTCACGCTGCTCTTCGCCTGCTGGGAGAGCTGCCGGTGAGCTCCTGGTGTCCCGGCTGCCGCCTGGGAGCCGTCCTGCCCCCGGTGCATGGCCTGGCCTCGGGCGGGCCGTGCCCCTCGTCCCTGCCTCCTCACGGTGCTTCCCTCGGCAGGCAGCAGAAGAGGAAGGGGCTCCTGGCAGCCATGGACTCGCCCAGCCTGGACACGGGTGAGGGGCTGCTCGCAGCACCGGGGGTTACTGGGGGGGTCACCGTTGTTTTGCCATCTCGAGCCCATGGCAAAGCCCTTGCAGAGGCTCCCCGCTGCTCCCCGAGCCCTGCGGGCAAATCCCAGTGTTAGGGGGACAGGGACATCCCGGGGCTGGGTTCCACCGCTCTGGGGCTGGGGCACCTCACCAAGTCTGTCTCTTTCCTTCCACGCTTTCCGGGGACTCCCAGCATCTCTACTGGGTAGGTGCAGCCTCTGCTCCCCCCTTGGTTGCGGGCTGGGGGTTGTGCAGCACCACGGGAGCTGCTGGAGCCTCACGGGGACCCTCTTGCAGGGCACGGCCGCAGCATCCCTGACTCCTTCCTGGGCCATTCTCCCTACGACAGCTACGGTTATGGCTCCTTCGGTGAGTGCTGCCGCCACGCACCGCCCCTCGCCTCCCCGCCTGCGTGGCCCTGACTGTCTGCCCGTCCCGTCCCGTCCCGTCCCATCCTTGCCCTTGTCCTTGTCCTTGTCCTTGTCCTTGCAGGGAACGGCTCCTCCAGCAGCACCGAGGGCGTCACGGACAGCCTGTGCTCTGCAGAGGTCCCCTATGGCTACGTGGGTGAGTGCCGGGGCGGCAGCGTGGCGCCTGCCATGGCCACCGCAGAGCTGCTGCTGTGCACCCGCCTCCACCCCTCTCCATGCCCCGGGAAGGGTCCCTGCGGTACCGGCCCCTCCGTGCCAGCCCGCAGCGGGGTCGGCGCCGGTGCCACCGGGGTGGGCGCGCACCGGGACCCCCGCTAGGGCTCCCCCTGCTCCTGCTGCGGTAACTCTGGCTTTCCTTTGAAGGGCAGGAGCAGTTCAAGCGCCGCACGCCCTCCACCCCGATGAGGCCACTGAGCATTGCCATGGGTAGATGCTGGTAGCGGGCAGGGACGGGCCAATCAACCCCCAATCTGCCCCACGCACAAGCACCTCCCTCCCTAGGCAGAGCCAGGGCGGGGGGGGGACACAGTCCTCCTGGTCCCAAGCCATCCCCAACCATGGGGCGATGCTCCCCGGGGTCCTGCCCCGGGGTGAACTGAAGGGCTCAGGTTAATTGGGTGCCTGATTGGGGTGCATGGGGTGGCATCGGGTGCCTTGGGCACCGCTGATGCCCGCTCGGTGCAGGGGAGCGCTCGCTGGAGCACGTGGTGGGGCGGCCGCGCGTGGACTCGCTGAGCTCGGTGGAGGAGGACGACTACGACACCCTGGCTGACATCGACTATGACAAGAACGTGATCCGCACCAAGGTGGGTCCTGCCCCACAGCCCCGGCCCCCCAGTGCCCCCCACTGCCCCCCTGAGCCCTCCTGCCTCTCCTTCCAGCAATACCTCTGCGTGGCCGACCTGGCGCGCAAGGACAAGCGGGTGCTGCGCAAGAAGTACCAGATCTACTTCTGGTGAGCGGGGTCTGTGGGGCGGGGGGGCACCGAGCGGGCTCCTGCCCTGGGGACCCCCTGACCCCCTTCCCATGCCCCTTCCAGGAACATCGCCACCATCGCGGTGTTCTACGCCCTCCCCGTCGTCCAGCTCGTCATCACCTACCAGACAGTAAGTGGGGACGTGGGGGCAGCATATGGGGCTTTTGGGGGCTTC